CCCCACGCTCCTTCCCCCGCGCGGGACCCCACTCCCAGTCCCCCGCCTGGGACCCCACGTCCCCACGCTCCCTCCCCCGCCTGGGACCCCCTCGTCCCCACACCCCGTCTCCAGTACGAGACCCCCGCCCCGTCCCACCCGCGGAGAAGCCGGTCGCGAGCGAATCGGCACATGCGCGCTGAGAGCCCGGCTGTGCAGCCTCTCCTGGAAGCGGGGCGCAGGTTTGCGCATGCGCGCGGGGCGGAGGAAGCGCGTAGGTAGGTGTCGGAGTAAGTATCGTCACCCGGAAAGCTGGAAGGAGATTCGGGAGTTCCCCGCATGCGCACTCTCCTCTCGGCCAGGCTTCTTGGCCGGGAAGACGGGCAGCGGGAGAAGGAGGCAGGGCGGCGGTCAGGGCGCATGCGCGCTCTTCTTTAGGCGCTGCCGCGTCGCCTGGATTGGGGCGCATGCGCGGGCATGCGCGACGGGCCCAGGGCGTGCGTTGGCAGGTGTCCGGACGGGTGGCGGCGGGCGATGGGACGACCGGCGGTGCTGCTGCTCGCGCTGTGCGCAGCCGGCGCCCGGGGACTCTACTTCCACATCGGCGAGACCGAGAAGCGCTGCTTCATCGAGGAGATCCCCGACGAGACCATGGTCATCGGTCAGACGGGGCGAGGGAGGACAGGGCCCTGTGTGTCCCCCAGACGCGGCCACGGCGCCCCGCGGAGTGTGGGAGCCGGCCGGAGCAGGCGGGTCGTGACGGCTCTGTCTGCTCCTCAGGGAACTACCGCACCCAGATGTGGGACAAGCAGAAGGAGGTCTTCCTGCCTTCGACCCCTGGCCTGGGCATGCATGTGGAGGTGAAGGACCCGGAAGGCAAGGTAGGGCCACCGCTGGTCGTGCTCGGGCTATGGCACGGGCGGTCTGCAGCCTCCACGAGGCCACGCTTCCCCGGAGCTCTCTGGCCCATGCAGGGCTCAGAGGACAGGGCTGCGTGCAGGTGGGGGTTGTCACGGTGTGTCCTGTTGCAGGTGGTGCTGTCCCGGCAGTACGGCTCCGAGGGCCGCTTCACCTTCACCTCCCACACGCCCGGTGACCATCAGATCTGCCTGCACTCGAACTCCACCAGGATGGCTCTCTTTGCTGGCGGCAGACTGGTAAGAGGATTGCCTTCTCGGCCACAGTTCGGAATCTTTCCCCTGATTCCGCCGAGTTTTGAGTTAACGGCCACTGTCCTTTGGGACACAGTCACAATCAGAGAGACGGGTGTTGCATTTTTGTCCCACAGCCAGGGACGAGAGTAGGTTCCCCAGCCTGGAACAGAGAGTCGGAGGGTTTCTGACCTTAGGGCTTTGGGGCACCACCCCCGTGTCTTTCTAGCGCGTGCACCTGGACATCCAGGTTGGGGAGCATGCCAACAACTACCCCGAGATTGCTGCCAAGGACAAACTGACCGAGCTCCAGCTCCGAGCCCGCCAGCTGCTTGATCAGGTGGAACAGATCCAGAAGGAGCAGGATTACCAGAGGGTAAGCATGCGTCTGACTGTACTCGGATGTGGCAGTTGACCTTTGTGCCTGCTACGCCCACTGGAAGTTTCTGTTTGGGGCCTTTCCCGATTGGGAGTTCAGCTGTTCAGAGAACGGGGTGGAGAGTGTCCGTCTACACGGCCGTTTCCAAGCTTTGTAGATGGAAGTGAAGTGAGCACAGCTCCCGGCCTAGCAGAGATGCTTGTGGAGGGCTGCACACACTCTCCTGGGGCACTCCCGGTGGAATCCAAGGCAATGTCTCCGAAGCCATTTGTTCTGAAGGTGGCTTTCTCGCAGGAGGGAGGGGCCTCACAACAGCTGGGACCGTTTGTCCGGCACGTTTAACCCTGGCCCGTTGTCCCCCGCAGTATCGCGAAGAGCGCTTCCGTCTTACCAGCGAGAGCACCAACCAGAGGGTCCTGTGGTGGTCCATTGCTCAGACGGCCATCCTCATCCTCACTGGTGTCTGGCAGATGCGTCACCTCAAAAGCTTCTTTGAGGCCAAGAAGCTGGTGTAGTGTCCTCTCCATATGATTCCTCCCCGTCACCTCAATTATCTGGTACTTTCCCCACCCACTACCTTATCCATCTGGATTTTGAGGGAAAAAAATGAAAAAAGAATACAAGCCATATTGGTTCCATGGCAACAAAGCACTCACATGGGTTCTCAAGGACCCAGGACATTGGTCCGAGTTCTCAAAGGTCTGTTTTGGGGTTTGTGCAGAGTCGAAACTGACCCGGGACGAAGTCGTCTTTCACTTCCAGTGATTCCCCTCTATCCTGTCACAAAAAGAGCAAGTGAAAAAAACCTTTAACTTCTCTCTTTCCGTCTACTTAGGCAGTAGGCGGCTGAAATGCCCCACCAGGGAGTCCCTGCCTCGCTGTTCCCTCGTCAGTCCTGGGTTTGCTCAATGGCTTTGTGAATGTAAATAAGGGGCAGAGGCCTCAGAGGATTGAAATGTTTTTCTATATATTAGAACTATTTTTTGATAAATTATATATATTTTACTTCCTAGTTGAAGTGTTCATGCCTGTGTGTGAGTAGCTGAAAAGACCAGTGCGGCCTCGTGTGCAGTCTGTGTATCCGTACGTTTTTGCTGAGGGCCCTAGCAGCTCTCAGACACCACGGATGCTCTCAAGGCCTTCTGAGAGGGCCAAGCAGGGATTCCCCAGGACACCTGGGATTTCCATGCCATGGGGCCCCAGACTGAGGTAGTGGCGGAGCACGCACAGGCAGGGCCCTCCTCCCCTCGCTCTTCTCTTCACTTTTATTTAAACTGTGCTAAATGTTTTCTTCACAGGAACCACGTTTGGTTCTTCATACGGATTTTTCCAGTGAAATAAAACGTGTTGTAGTAGCTGTGTTGGAAATGAACTAAGAGGTTGTGGGCAGAGGGGAGGCACAGAGGGCAGTGGAAGAAAGGCCCCTGGCCTTGTTGGCTGCCATGCTGGCTGGCAGTGGGAGGGCGTCAGCAGGGGGGCTCCTGCTGCCAGGGTTTGGCCTGATGGGCGTCCGTGGGTGCAGTGGCATGGCCACTCTCAGAGGTCAGACACATAGGCCCACTGGCCAGGAATCACGTGAGGAGATGAAGTCCCTGTTTCTCGGCCCCTGGAGTTACATTGAAGCATCTTAGTACATTGCCCTTCTGCTGTATTAAACTTGCCTGCTCTCGCCTGGGGGGCTCAGTCGGTGAAGCGTCATTTGGCTCTGGTCATGGTCCCAGGGTCCTGGGATCGAGCCCTGCATCGGGCTCCCTGCTCCACGGGAAGCCTGCTTATGCACCCCCCCCCCCAAGCTGGCTTGTGCTCTCTCTCTCTCTCTCAAAAAACTAGAAACAAAAAAAATTGCCTGTCCTTGGCTTTGTAGTCCATGCCTTTACTGATTACACATGTCTATTTGACATACTGATGGGGCATGTCTATGTAACATACACTAATTTGACCGACAGCGAAATCTTTTTCTTTACGTCCTACACAGTTCACGTATGTACCTATTTTTACTCATAAAAACACGAAATATTGTTTTCTAGGTTTTGACATTTAATATTTTTTAAGTATTTTTTAAAACTAAGTGTTCCTCATATTTCTAATTCTGGGTGGTTGTATAACTGTTCAATGAGGTGAAATAACCATAAGTGACTATTCTCTAAAGTTTGGGTATTTAGGATGGTTTTCAGTTTTCTTAGGTTAGAATGAACCCAGGGAAAATGAGATGGTCCTGGAACTGGTTAGCCGTGTGGGCCTCTGGCTTGAGGTTCCTGGGGACTATGGGACGGGTCTGGAAGGGAACCTGTCTGCTACTGGGCCTGTTCTTGGCTGTGGGAGGGCAGGAAACCACCACTGAGAGCCAGGGCGGCCTTCTTTGGTCTGTCCCACTATAGACAGAATTGAGTGCATCTTGATTCTGCCAGGAGGTCGGTAAGTTCTGGGTTTTTCCTCTTGTCAAGGTTTGATGGGAAGGGGCATTTGTCCCACTGATGGGGCAGGTAGAGTACCGATGGCCAGAGGATGGGCCAGCAGGTGGCAGCTGTGGGGAGGATTTCCATGCTGCTGTGTGACAATCACATCGTCGTCTAGGGAAGTTGTTTTTAGAAAGCAGTTTGGCCACATTCAGGGAATTTGGATATTCCTCCCAATACTACCCTGCTTCTATTGTGAAATTCTTGCTTTGTTAGACTGTATGACATCGTTACCACAAAAACCGGAGGGGCGGGGGGGGGGGTTGTCGTCGTGGTGAGGCCTGGTTTCCCAGCAAAAAGGAATGAAGGTTGCTATCATTTGCCTTTAAAATGGAAAGATCATCTTGGATTATGTGGGTGAACACAGGGTCATCTCAAGGTTCATTAAAAGTGGAGGCAAAAGGTCGCCATGGTGAGACGTGAGGACTCCAGCCTCCGTCGCTGGCTCGGAAGAGGAAGGAAGTGGGCCAGCAGGCAAAGGGAAAGGCAAGGAAGGAACCATCCCTCTAGTCTCCAGAAGGGAGTGCAGCCCAGCCAGACCCTGCAAGACAACCGCAGAACCACAGCATAGCTGCCTCTGGGTTTATGGTGACTGGTTATGGCAGCTATAGGGAACCGACAGTTGGGGACCGAGAGCCCTTATTGCTCGCTAAGCTGTGCGGGTAACTGATGGGCACCCACAGGCCAGCCCACCTTCCTCTCTCGTGCCACGCCCGCCCGTGCCCCTGGACCCCGTTCTGGCTCCCCCGCACCCTGGGCCGCCCCCGCCGGGCACCACAGCTTCGGAGGGCACGGCAGGTGCCGGCGCAGCTCCCAGGGCGAGGCTGCTAAAGGAAGCGCTGACTGAAGGGAGAGCCGCGAGCCACCCCTGTGCACGAGCAGCGGAGGCGGCCAGCGAGGGCACCTCCCGGAGACCGCGGGCCCTGCGCCCTGCGCAGCCGCGGAGCCCCGCCGGGGCGCCGGAAGCCCCCGCTCCAGCACGTCCGGGAGGGGGCGGTGCCCGCGAAGCTGATTGGTGGTGGCGTCCCACGCGCCGTCGCGCCCTTCCTGCCGTGTGTGCGCGCTGTCCCCGCAGAGTCGCGGCATGGCGGACCCGGAGGCGTTGGGCTTCGAGCACATGGGTCTCGACCCCCGGCTCCTGCAGGTACCCGGGGGTACTGAGCGGCCGGGCCGACGTGGCTGGGGGCGGCGGCGGGCGGCGCGCTGAGCCGCGCCTCGTGTCTCCTAGGCCGTCGCCGACCTGGGCTGGTCGCGACCCACGCTGATCCAGGAAAAGGCCATCCCGCTGGCCCTGGAGGGGAAGGACCTGCTGGCTCGGGCCCGCACGGGCTCGGGGAAGACGGCCGCGTATGCCATTCCCGTGCTGCAGCTGCTGCTCCACAGGAAGGCGGTGGGTCGCGGCGGCTGGGTGGGGGGACCGGGGCTCCCGCCGGCCTCGCACCCCGAAGGCCGGCCCGGGATGCCGCTGTGCTCAGCGCTCCGGGCTGGGGTTCGGGTCGCCTGGCCCCGATCCGGGCGCTGCTGTCATCCTTCTTGGCGTCTTCTCGAGCGCGTGCCTTTTCCTTCTTCTTGCTGTAAAAAGCGGGCAGGTTTCCCGGTTCTGTTTGTAGAATTAACATGAACGTCCAGCGCTCTAGGTGCTGGATTTTCAGTAACATGCTAACCGCGGAGTTGTGTCTTTTGAGGGTCAGTGCCCGGGGAAAGAGCCTTCTGTTCTACCCTCTGTTCTGTTCTGGGGAGGGTGACAGTCAGTGAGGGGTTGGTGGAAGGCCCCACCCTTCGGTCAGATTGTCGGGGGCCTTAGGTGGCCCTGAGGTCGCGGGCTGGCTGGCTGAAGTCTGTCATTCGTGCTCTTGCAGACAGGCCCTGCAGTAGAGCAGGCTGTGAGAGGGCTTGTCCTGGTGCCCACCAAGGAGCTGGCGCGGCAGGCCCGGTCCATGATCCAGCAGCTGGCTGCCTACTGCGCTCGAGATATCCGGGTGGCTGACGTCTCCGCTGCCGAAGACTCAGCCTCTCAGCGGTGGGTGAGAGCCACAGGGCCGTAGAGGAGTGAACCTGCACAGGGATGCGGGATTGGGTTTGCTGGGTTTGTGTGCAGTAAACGGGGCCGCTCGGGGTGCGGTGTGAGTTGCTGCATACTCCCCGACACGGAGGTGTTGCCCACCTGCAGAGCTGTGCTGATGGAGAAACCCGACATAGTCGTGGGGACCCCATTGCGCATCTTGAACCACTTGCAGCAGGACAATTTGGTCCTGCGAGACTCCCTGGAGCTGCTGGTGCTGGATGAGGCCGACCTTCTGTTCTCCTTTGGATTCGAGGAAGAACTCAAGAGTCTGCTCTGGTAAGGGAGAGATGTGTGCAGCTGTGACTAGAGGCTAGGGCCTGGAGCTGGAGGCTGACTGGCTCTGTTTTGTTCTAGTCATCTGCCCCGGATTTACCAGGCTTTTTTGATGTCGGCTACCTTTAACGAGGATGTCCAAGCACTCAAGGAGCTGGTACTCCATAATCCAGTAAGGGTGCTACGGAGGCATCGGGGTCCCTGACGCGTAGCCTCCCTGGTTCTGAGGCACGAGAAGCTGATGGTCATCAAGACCCACCCTCCACCAGTCTGCAGTCGCTACGTCACTGCAGATGTCTGCTGGGGGTGGTTCAAACGTGCTTCACCTAAAGGCTGAAGCAGGGACCCCCAAGGGTCAGAAGGGCTGCTTTGAGTGGCACGGCCAAAGCTCTTGTGTTCGTGGACTTGGCTGTCCTGAGAGCTTGCTGCTGCAGGGCTTCCTTCCTCACTTACCATGTGTTTCTCTGTTCTGTGCCCCAAGCGCGTTTTAATCGTACGTCCTCCGCACAGGGTAACGGCTGGGGCACTTTGAGTTGTCACGTCACCCAGTGGGAGGGGACGCGGGGTGCCCTGGTTTGAGCCAGCAGCGTGCAGCCTCTCTTCTGTCTCTTTCTCTTTTCTGACCACCGGGCTCTTTCCCTGCAGGTGACTCTCAAGCTGCAGGAGTCCCAGCTGCCGGGGCCAGACCAGCTGCAGCAGTTCCAGGTAGTCTGTCAGACAGAGGAAGATAAGTTCCTGCTGCTCTATGCCCTGCTCAAGCTGTCATTGATCCGCGGCAAGTCCCTGCTCTTTGTCAACACTCTGGAGAGGAGTTACCGGCTGCGCCTGTTCCTGGAGCAGTTTAGCATCCCCACCTGCGTGCTCAACGGAGAGCTCCCGCTGTGCTCCAGGTGCACCTGGCCTGACCCCTCGGCTGAGACATGGGAAGGGGAGACGCAGGGGTGCTCCTGTGTCTTCAGTGGGCAGTGGAGGCCAGGCTGTGGGCTTGACCAATTCTTACTGGCTTTCTTTGTCACGGCTTTGAGATTTCTCCCGTTGCTTCATCTTCAGCTGAGTAGCTGAGGCATGAAGGTTATCCAGGAGCCGAGCTGGAGAAGAGGGAAGAGTCAGGATGACGGTTGTGATGATGTTGGGGGTGGGAGGGAGCCTCCGACTGGCTCTGGGGGCTGAGCCTTCCTCCGCTCTTGGGCTCTAGGTGCCACATCATTTCACAGTTCAACCAGGGCTTTTACGACTGCGTCATAGCGACTGACGCCGAAGTCCTGGGGGCTCCGGTCAAGGGCAAGCGTCGGGGCCGAGGATCCAAAGGGGACAGGTGAGTGCTGGTGTCTCCCTTCCCCAGTGCACTGCAGGGAGACTGTTTCCCCGTCTTTCGGAAGGTGGTGAAACTGGATGCCCAGAGCAAGGGGTCCGGTGTTGGGGCCTGGCTGCTCGTGGGGCCTCGTTCGGCTGCCGAGGTCTGGAGAGAGCGAAGGGCGCACATGCGTGTTCCCTGAGGCAGCAGGAAGGGCCAAACGTCGTGGGTTGTTGGGGGTCGTCCTGCAAGGGGAGACGTGCAGCTGTGACTCGTGAGGAGGAGGTTTCTGAAGCGATCGGGAGCTCCAGTCTTTGCCTGCCCAGCAGGCTGTCTGGCGAGGGGTGGTTGTCAGGTTGTCCTGTGGCGCGATGAGTTCCGTCCCCCCCCGGCACTGAGGTCAGGGTGAGGGTTCGGCCACCCCCGCTCTCCCAGCTTCTGAAATAGTTCTGGTTTTAGGGTTTTTAACCTATTAGAGTTCTCTGATTTTGTGGAAGGCTTTACTAAGTGATTTTACTGATTAAATGGCTTGAGGTTGCTGGCCTGGAGGAGGGGTGGTCAGTCTGACGTTGGGACGTCTACCCACAGGGCCTCTGATCCGGAGGCAGGCGTGGCCCGGGGCATAGACTTCCACCACGTGTCTGCTGTGCTCAACTTTGACCTTCCCCCCACCCCTGAGGCCTACATCCATCGAGCTGGCAGGTGGGAGAGCTGGGCCGTGGTGGGCAGACACCAGGACCGCGGGCTGTGGGCTGGAGATTCAGGCTGGGCCGTCTGTTCTTGCAGGACGGCACGCGCCGACAACCCGGGCATGGTTTTGACCTTCGTGCTGCCCACTGAGCAGTCCCACCTGGGCACCATCGAGGAGCTTCTCAGCGGAGGTAAGAAGCCCCGCGCTCTCCTCCCACAACGCCTTAGGCCCAGTGGTGGTCAGAGAGCTCCGCCCACTCAGTGCTGCCCTGTGCCTTCTTCCTGTTCTATCCTCATTCCTGCCTCATGGGGGCAGGCAGGGTCCCCCACAGACGAACAAGCGGAGGTCCGGACTCGAGGGGCAGAAGGGCTAAAGGAGGGAAAGGGGTTTTGGGAGGTGGGGATGGGGCCGGTGGTGTCTCCCAGGAACCCTGGGAGAGGGGGCTCGGTGGGGGGTGGGGGTCAGTTGCCAGGTTCAGGTCTGGGCGCCCGTCGGGCCTTGCCGAGGTGACGCTGAGGCAGTGTAGCTGGCGCTGTTCAGGCTGTGAGCAGCGGCCGGCAGAGGAGGCGTGGGTGGGGCTACCCACCAGCCAGGAGGCTCCCGAAAGGGTCCTCAGTCCTGCTTGTGTTGGGGGTCCAGGAAGGACCCTGTGGGGTCGTACGGAAGAGGGGCCGGGGCACTGCGGGGCGGGAGCCTGAGTGCTGCTTCTGCGCTGAGACGCGGGTTTGTCACGAACGCCGAGTGTCCAGAGTGGCCGTGGGGGAGGAGAGTGGGTACGTGGGCAGGTTCTGAGGCTGCTGTGATGGGCACCCGGGGGATGACGGGCTGCCCGGCCACAGTGCGCTGGAGCAGCTGTCACGGGCTGTGCACGAGACCCGGCTGTTCCACCACACGTGCTCCTCGCGGGGGAGGCGTGGGCTGAGGGCCGGGCTGCTTTGCCCCAGGGAGGGCCTGGGGGGACCTCTGAGCAGACGGCCTCCGGTAGACCCGCCCTGAATCTTCAGGGGACCCTCACTGCCGTGATCTCCACAGAGAATGGGGCCCCCGTACTGCTTCCCTACCAGTTCCGCATGGAGGAGATTGAGGGCTTCCGCTACCGCTGCCGGGTGAGTGGGATCTCGTGGTTGGGGGTGGGGGTGAGTCCCCCTGGGTCAGACCCCTGCCACTGAGCTTCCAGGCACAAGGCAGGACAGGGCAGCGCCCCGCCCCCCATCCTGACCTTTGGTGTCTATACGCAGGATGCCATGCGCTCAGTGACCAAACAGGCCATTCGAGAGGCGAGGTTGAAGGAGATCAAGGAGGAGCTTTTGCACTCAGAGAGGCTCAAGGTGAGGCTCAGCATCCGTGGGGGACGCAGAATCACCGCTGTGGAGTTTGTCCTCGGCACATGTTGCCATGGTGGGGGGGGTCCACATGGGGCCCTGTGTGGAGAGCGTGTGGGGCATGGCTGCCTCAGGAAGGGCCATGTCCCCGCAGATGCGGCGCCTGGGCAGGGGGAGACCAGAGTGGTGGCACCTCTGGGAGGGCACAGCGCACCTGCCCAAGGGCCCCTGTGGAGCCACAAAAGGCAGACCGACCCTGCCGTGTGCCCATCTCCCCCACAGACGTACTTTGAAGACAACCCCCGGGACCTCCAGCTGTTGCGGCACGACCTGCCCTTGCACCCTGCCGTGGTGAAGCCTCACCTGGGCCACGTCCCTGACTACCTGGGTGAGCAGATGGGACCTCAGAGACTGGGCAGCCGGCACGCACACAAGCACACAGACACGTCTGCTTGAATGTGTGGGCGTGCTCCCCCAGGATCCATAGAGACAGGGATCCCCCTGTGCTGGGGACACGGGAAGCAGGCAATACAGAGGCCCCTGTGTGGTGGGTGCGGGCAGAGTTGGCACGGAGGCGGGGTGCTCCTGCTGCATCAACTGGTCGGGGGGAGAGATGTCCCGTGAGGGATGAACCGGTAATCAGGGGCTGTGTACGGAGAAGTTACAGAGAGACTTGTATTTTAGCAGTGTTTTTTTCCTTTAGAAACATGCATATGTTTCTTTTTTGCCACGTGCTTCCAGTAGCCGGCTTAAAGGCAGCAGGGGAGCGACTTAGCCTGAGTTTCTGCGCCCTCGCTCCCGCGGTGGCCATTCTTGCAGCCCTGGGCACGTCGGACTTGGGGCTGGTGTGCCGGGCCCTGGATCAGAATCGGGGCAGCTCGCTGGGCACAGCTGGAGGGGGCAGGGTGCGAGGGGTCGTGGCAGCTGCTGAGTCTGTGCCTCTTCTAGTCCCCCCTGCTCTGCGTGGCCTCGTCCACCCTCACAAGAAGCGGAAAAAGCTGGCCTCCAAGAAGGTCAAGGTATGTGCCTCGGGGCCTTGGCCATGCTGTGGGGCTCCCCTCTTCCCTCATCCGTTGTCATCAGGGTGCGCACGCACCTTGCCTTTGGGAGGGAGGGGAGAGGCCCTTCGGCCTGGCCCCAGACTCTGGGGTTGAGGGGCAAAGTCGTGGGGGCCGGGCACTCCCTGGGCCACCCCCAGGCAGCTTCAGGAGCACAGGATGGTCTGTTTTTCTGTCCTCACTGCCCAGCCTCTGCTCCAGGCAGTGGGAGGAAGAACGTGGGTGTTTAGTGGGCCACAGACGGTGACTGTGGCAGCTTTTGTCCTCGGCCTGTGGCCTGCAGGGCCTTGCCAAGGGGCCACACCTCTCGCCTCCCTGAGGCGGGGCAGACAGACGTCAGGTGAGCCCAGCTAACCTGTGGCTTTGCTTTGCAGAAGGCCAAGACCCAGAATCCCCTGCGCAGCTTCGGGCACAGAAAAGAGAGAAGCAGACCCACAGCCGTGCCTTCCTGAGGTCATCTGCGCAGCCTCGCTGGCTCCCAGGGCCCCTTCCCAGGCTGAGCGCCGAGCAGGGTGCAGGCGCCGGCTTCCCACCCTGGCTGGACTGGATTCCGGAGCAGGCCCATGGTGCTGCCCTGCTCGCCTAATAAACTCCATCCGTCCTGACTCAGGCTTCCTGCAAGTAGGAAGGGATGCCTATTCCTGGGAACCTTGGGAATTAAACTGCTTCCGGGAGGTTTTCTTTTTTTTTTTTTTTAATTTATTTGGCAGAGAGCGAGAGAGGGAACACAAGCAGGGGAAGTGAGAGAGGGAGAAGCAGGCCTCCCGCTGAGCGGGGAGCCCGATGCGGGGCTCGATCCCAGGACCCTGACACCATGACCTGAGCTGAAGGCAGTCACCCAACCAACTGAGCCACCCAGGTGCCCCTTCCGGGAGGTTTTCTGCCTGGTGTGTGTGGCGGCTGCCTGGCCGGCAGAGGTCAGCTGTGAGGCGCTGCCGCAGCTCGTCTGGGTCTCTGGCCCAGCCCACTGCCGGCCAGACTGACCGACCTCCCTCCCCCGGAGCTCGGAGACGGTGAGCCTTCCCAACTAGGAGCCCCATACCTCCACATCCAAATCTGGGCGCCTCTGCCCCCAAGCCAGGGGGACTGGCTCCTGTGTTCCCGCCCCACTCCCTGTAGGCATATTTGTGTGTTCCGTACATGCAGGCATGGTGGTGGGATGCGTGCACTCGCTGTTGGAGGCTCCTTACTGAGCCAGCAGGTCCCGGTTTGAGAAGGCGGGGGTCTCGACGGGGTGGAGTCATGGCATTACCGTCACCTGCTTATGGGCGTCATGAGGAGGCTGTGCTTCTGCTTGCTGTTCGGGTGTGATAGCGCTTGGGGTAGGTGAGGTTTCAACATTTCCCGCTCCTGTTGTGTTTGAGGGTTTCTGGATAGCCGCGGTTTGCGACGGGGTTGCTCAGGCGGGGCTTTGCTAGCGAGCCCGGGTGGGCCACTGGGGTTCCAGCAGGCCTGGAGCCACCAGGCTGCTGGGCTTCAGTCCCCCGTGGACCGTCCCACCTGCTCTGTGAGGCAGGCGAGGAGCTGAGGCCTGGCCGTGAGGTCAGCCTTCTCCCTCATGGTTCTAGGCCCTCTGGCCCCGCCACCTCCAGGTGCTCCCGGCCAAGGGGCTTGTGTCCCAGAACCAGTCCAGATCCAGATGCAGGAGAGTTGGGGGCCAAAGGGGCTGGTCTGGGCCTTTGTCCCCGCCTGTGGATGGAGCTGGGGCTGTGTACCCATCACCCTTAACAAGCCCCAGACAAGGGTATCCCACATTCCTAGGCTCAGAGAAGTTCCCTGGTGCACTGAGCTTGCCAGGCCAGTGAGGGCTGGTGGGCGGGGCCCCGCTGTCCACCCCCACAGAGGCCTAGCTGACATGGCTGGCGTTGTCACCAACACGGGCAGGTCCTATCTGAGGCCCTTGGGAGCTGGGCTGTGCCTGTGATCCCCTCCCCAAGCTATTACAGGCCCCTACACTTGGTAGGGTCTGACCTGGCTGGGGCGGTGGAGAGGGTGGTGTGTCTCTGCACCCTGACCCCACAGAGGGAGGGTGTCCAGGGGCCTAGACATCTCATTCAATCCCCACCCCACCCTGGGGATAGGCCTCACTGTGTTCATTACTTAATTTATATATGGGGGAACTGAGGTCTCCAGGGACTGGACTTGTTCATCTGATGCACATCCAAACTAGAGCCGGACAGGCCCTGCATGGGAGGGGCCTGGAAGGGGTGGGGTGGGGTGAGCCTACTCGAAGCTCGAAGCGAAGGTTCCTGGTGGGAAGGCTGGCCGGTGACCACCTCCCCCCCACCCCTGCTGGCAGAGTCACACCCACACGGAAGCCTGAGTGGGTGCTGCTGTTCAGGCAGGCAAGGGGCTTTAGGGGATTGAGAATCAGGCCTTGGATGCACCCAAGCTGTGGACTCCAAAGGCTAGGGCCTGCCAGGTGCCGGCGCTGAGCGGGGGCAGGAGGGGTGCGGGGTGCCCGCAGCCAGCGCACAGAAGGGGACCAGCATGTACAAATACTCCAGGTGGGAGGCGGGGGCCCAGCCCAAGCCCATCTGAGGACAAAAGGAATCAAAAGTGGTTGTCACCAAAATAGGAAAAGGCTAAAAAATTGACTTATTTCAGAGATAACACAGTGACGTGTAAAAAATTCAGAAGATAAACAAACGAGCAGGTGGTTTTCAAGCAGAGGAGCACCCTGATCAGATAGGCCAGCAGCTGCGGTGATAACGGATGGGAGAACACTGTGTTCCTAGAAACCTCTGGACCCAGAGCACGAAGCGCTCAGGTGCATTTCTGACTAGCTAACCCCTGCATCTGCTGAGAATCGGTGACTCAGGGGCGCTTGCTGCTCCAGGCACTTTGGTCTCCGGGGGCAGTGGCAGACAATCAGGTGGAATTCGTGCAGGGAGGCGCCCCTGCCAAATGCTTGCCCCCTCTCCCCGCCCCGCCACCGGGAGGAAGCGTCAGGATGTCCTGCCTCGCCAGTCTGTGGTGTGGATCACAGCCGTGTGTCCCTGGAAAACGAAGCAGGGCTCATCCACTGGGGAGGGGGCCAGGCACTGCTGGGCAGACGCCCTCTCAGGACAGCAGCTCAGTGTCTGTTCACCCACCAGCCCTGCCGCAGTCCCTGCAGCCAAGCTGGGAGCAGCCACGTCGGCGGCTCTTCGGTGTACTATCCCAGCCTGGCTACCAGGGAGGCCCCTCACTTGTCTCGGCTTCCTCCTGGGGTCTCATCTGTGAGCGGGCTAAAGTGACCCGTGCCAGCGATCCTGTGTTGGGACACACCATGAGGTCAGGCAGCCTCAGCGCCCCCGCGGGTGGCTCTACGCTGGGTGCCCCTCCAACATCAGTGCACGCCCCAGTCATAGAGGCCTGTGCTTACGGTGCGGGTCCTGGCCAGCAGGTCCTGGGCAGGGCCCCTGCCAGAGGAGGCCTGAATGCCTACAACACCCACCCCATTCTACAGATTGAGAAGCTGAGGCTCGCAAAAAGCAAGCCAGGCCAGTGCCACCCGGCTGAGGGACAGAGTGGGCAGGTACTCAGATCTGTGGACGCCACTCTGGAACCCTAGGTGAGTGAGCTCAGCTCAGCCCTGTCCCATCCCTTCTCTGAGCCTCATCTTCATCTGTGAGATGCAATGATAAAGGGTGTCACTTTTTAGGGTAAGTATGTCCCGTGCAGTATTTGTGATACACTAAAAAATTATTCATTGTTTATCTGAAATTGAAATCTGGATGGGTGATCTGCTTCTTGGCTAAATTTGTACGCTCTCTTGCTGGGGTGCGGCCTCCTCCAGCGAGTCTTGCTGACTCCCCGCCTGGGCTGGACACCCTCTCCTGTGTGTCCCTAATACTGCCTTGACCCCACGAAGCTCGTCTCTGGCCTGTTGTCCAGCCTGGCCGGTGAAGCCTGGAGGCAGGGGCCATGCCAAGTGCCTTGCTGCCCAGCCGGGACTCCTAAAAGGATCAAGCTCTTCCCTGAGACTATCCCTGGTGCCTGAGGCTCTTGACTATTTCCAGTTAAAAGATGAAAAGGATGTACTGACCAGGCTGGACTCTGCCCCCTGACACAACAGCCTGGACGCACCCTACATGTCCGCTCTGTGACTCAGAATGGAGACTGTGGGACTGCCCCAGGCTGGGGCTGGTTGCCAAGGTTGTTGGTTTCTGGTGAAGTCAGAGGCCCATCCCTTCTTACACTCATCTGCTCCCTGGACAGGGGCGGTTCCCCCACCTGTGGACCCTGCTTCAGACCCCTTCTCGGGGCTCCTTTGGGTCCTACAGCTCACCATCCGACTCATCGGCCCCAGATTAGGAAGTGCAGAGGCGGTGGTGCCCAGAGGGACTACCACAGACGGGGGCCCCCATGAAGACACCCACCCAACTCACGGGGCTGGTAAGAACATGAGGAGCCACATGATGCTTGTCAAGTAGAGAATAAGCATCTAGGTTCAGCTTTCCAGACCTTGTCCCCACTTGGCCTGGACACCTGGCTCCAATCCTGACAGCCCCCACTTGGTGGTCTGGCCCCTGTGTTCTTAGCCCTGCCCACATCTTGGCGTATTGAGATCTAAGATCTTTTCTGGGTCCTAGAGGTGGGCTAGAGGTGCTTAGGGAGGCAGCAGTGAGGGGCAGATTGGGCTGCCCACCTGCCCCTTCCAGGGAGCCCTTGGGAGTGATCTGGGGTCTTGTCCATGGAGGAGTTCTATAAAGCAGACTGCTGGCCTCAGGCCTGGGTCACCCTCTCCATGGGCCTGCAGGCCCTTCCCCACCTCAGCAGGGCCTGGAGAAGCAGCTTCCCAAGATGTCCCCACCAAGAAGCAGGGACAAAGGACCAGACAGCCTGAGTGCTGCTGAGCTCCAGGGACAAACAATCTAATGTGTTCACTGAAATGTGTAGATTGGACCCTTATATGTATTAAGGATCCCTGCCCCCTGGAACCAGGAACTTAGCCTCCAGGAGCAAAACACACAAGGCAACAGGTGAAGTGCCGTGATGGCTGGAGCAGGGGAAGCCATCTGGGCTCTGGGGTGGTGATTGAGGTCCCCACCATCCCCCCACTGATGGAGGATTTGGCGTGAGCGGTGAAGGACCGGCAGGATTTGGGAAAACTTGGTGGGGGTCACAGCAAAGCTGGGAGGAAGGGACCAGCAGGGTGCATGGAGAGCAGTGAGCAGATTAGTGGGCTTAGCAAACACTTTCATAGGCCTGTGGTTCTTGGGACGCCTGGGGGCCTCGGGGTTAAGCATCTGCTTTCAGCTCAGGTCATGATCCCAGGGTCCTGGGATGGAGCAGGGGGCCCGCTTCTCCCTCTGCCTGTGGCTCCCCCTGCTTGTGTGTGCGCGCTCTCTCTGGCAAATCAATCAGTAAAATCTTAAAAAAAAAAAAAGTGGGAGGACAGTGGTTCTCAACCAGGGGTGTTATGTGTTTGCAGGGCATCTGGCAAGGAGCGGAGACAATTTAGGTTGTCCCTCTGGGGGGCGGCGCCACCGACGTGTACTGGGCAGAAGCCAGGGATGCTGCTGAAACCCTCTGGATGCCCAGAGCAAGCCCCGCGCAGAGACACCTGGCTGGGGAGGTTGAGGGCCTGCAGAGCAATGGTAGCGGGTGCGCTGGAAGCCAGGTGGGAGGGGGCGGCGGTCTCCCCGCATGTGACTTCGGAGTGCGCACAGCTGCAGTGACAGACGCCAGATGGCAGGCGGACACGAGGACTGGCTTCTTTCTCAGGTGTCTGGAAGGCTGCAGACCGTCACTATGCCATTAGAGGCCCAAGTTCTTCCATCTCCTTTGCCATCTTTTTTTTTTTTAAGTAGTAAAATATACATAAAATAAAATGTATTGTCTTTTATCATTTTAAGTGCGGTTCTGTGGCATTAAGCACGCTCACATTGCTGTGTGGCCTCCACCGTCTGTGT